AGAACTTTCAGACGTTTGAATTCTGAATATATCTTTTCCTTAAACTCCATAAGGAGGCGGGGTCTCTGGTGATGAAGGTTCTCTAAAGGTTTTTGTCTCTTCCAGCTTTGCCAGACTCTGAATCCTTCTCTGAACCTCTCCCTGCACGAGGAGGAGCAGAGGAGGTGGAAAACCAAGCTGAGGGAGTGGAGGGAGAGGGAGGCCAGGCAGGCGCTGCTGATCCACCGTCTGCAGAACAAGGTGAGGCTGAAGGAGGCGCTGTGGAGCAGCAGGAGGAGCTGCAGCCTCAGCAGGCAGCGAAGCGCTCAGATGCAGATGTTTGTGGATGTTGCAGGTGTTGGAGTACAGAGATCGCTGTCAGCATCTGGATCTGCAGCTGCAGGAGGAACAGTCCAGGCTACGGAGCTCTGAGGTCAGAACCAGAACCAGAACCAGCCTGCAGCAGAACCTTCTGTGATCAGCAGCTGACATGTGTCTGTTTTACAGCAGAGAATCAGAGATGAACACAGCGACTCCCTGGAGAGCGCCCTCATCAGGCTGGAGGAGGAACAGCAGAGGTGTGTCTCTGTGTGTAACTATTAGTAATGTCATGAGATGAGCCAGGCGTTTCCGCTAGGCATGTATAGAGGCTTGCTTTATTTGGGGGAGGAGCCAAAAAAGTTGACGTCCGAAGCCTCGCTACCCCGCCGTACCATGTGACCGCTTCAGGAAGTGGTTCCGCTCACCCCGAACTTCAGCAGCCATTTAAACAGCCTCCATGTTCAGTTAAGATATGTTTGGAGGAGAGCTGGACGGAGTTTGGATAGATTCTAAGAATAGATTGTTTGCAAAAACAACCAATCTAGTTGGTGAAAATTATTTTGCTCAGATTAAACAATGTAATGATCAAAATCTGAGCAAGCTACTGGTTACAGTTGTAACATTAGTTAGTACATTAACTAGTATTACTTTCTGGTGAGATGCAGCCTTGCTAGTGGTTTCTGCTGTAAGTCATGAACTTCCCATCCTGAATTTGTTGGTTTAAATTCCTCCCCAGACTTTTCAAAGTTGCGATAAACACAACAATAATTTTGGGTAAAGTGACTGATTTTTATTGGTTTGCATTAGTATAAATATAGATTAGCTAAAAAACACTGCCAAATTACAGTAGTTGGTTTAACCAACAGATTAGTTGAACACATAACTTCCAACCAGATTAAAACCAAAAACTGGAAAACTATTATGGTTGAATAAAAATAACCATTCATTTTGCTCATCATTGCCCAATTTGCACAAACACTTTCACAGTTTACAGCTTGAGCTTATTTCACTAAAATAGCAGAAAAACAGTGAACCTTAAGTGATTTTTCTCTTCTAAGACATCAACATACAAAAAACGTACAAAAGATTTTCTTACAAACACCAATCATGAACAAAAAAAAGAAAAACAGTAGCAAAAAAATCAGTTTGTATTACTAACTGTAGTTCTGCTTTCCACCAGTAGGTGGTGACATTTTCACATGAAGCTTCATGAACTGTGGGGATCATTGATCAAATGCCTCATGAGGCTTCATCTCACCGTCACTAGCGCCTCCAGTAGAGTTGACCTCTAAGCTCCTCCTCTCTGTTCCTCCTCAGGTCTTCCAGCCTCACCGACACCAACGCTCTCCTCCGTCACCAGCTCAGCCAATCAGAGGAGACGAACCAGGCGCTGAGAGAGGACCTCCAGAAGCTGACTGCTGATTGGTCCAGAGCCGTGGAGGAGTCGGAGCGCAAAGCGGCTGATTGGCAGAGAGAGAAGGAGGTGTGCAGACGGTTCGGTCTCCTGAGGTCCGAACAAATCAAGCTAACGCTGTGATGGTTTGTTTTCAGGGTCATGTGGGTCAGAACCAGGACCGCCTCCTGTCAGTCTGGAGGTCTGTGCTGGATCTGAGGCGACACTGTCACACAGTGAGAACAGCCGCTGACAGGTGAGTGCATCCTGTCCGCCGCTGACATCACGGCGTCAGAGTGAGTAACCTGAGGGTCAAAGGTTAATCTCCCTGTTCTGGTTCCCTCCTTTCTGCTCCTCCAGGGATCTCTGGCAGCTCAGAGCAGAGTTCTCCAAGTTCTCATCATCTCTCCTCCTCAGCTGTGACTCCGTCTGCTCCTCACTGAGGCCCAAACCCTCTGACCTTCCTCCTCCCTCCTCCTCCTCTCCTCCTCTATCCTCTACTCTCGTTCTCCCTTCTTCCAACTCCTCAGCTTCTCCCCCTCAGCTCTCTCCCTCCACACTGGGAACCTTCACCTTAGGAGAGCTGAAAGAGGAGGAGGTGAAAGAGAAGGAGCAAACAGTGGAGTTAAAGCTGCTCCAGGAGGCGGAGGTGTTGCAGCTGGAACAAAGGTTAGCATCATGTTGGATCCTGAGGTTCTGCAGGAGGCGTAGATCTCCTCCTCCTTTCACCTCCTGTATGTTTCAGGGTTGAGGAGCTGAGTCGCTCCCTGCAGGCTGCAGACGGAGAGAAGGAGGAGGCCAAAAAGGAGGTGGAGAGGCTGAGGGAGTCAGAGAGGAGGCTGCAGTCAGTGGGTCAGGCTGTGGTCAGGATGGTGAGCTTCTCCTCCAATCAGAGGCAGCGTTTCATGCAGCGATCACATGGATCCATGTTCATGTTCTGCCTTCAGTCCAGGGCCCTGAGCAGGACCAGCAGTCAGACCCTGAGCGTCTCCATGGACGCCGTCCTCAGCCTGGACCTGTCCTCCCTGCTGTCAGTCCTGTCTCAGACCGAGAGCACCCTCCAGTGGAAGCATGAGGAGCTGCAGGTCAGTGGCTCAAAGCTTTATGGATCAACCAGAGGACCTGACCTCGCTCAGTCTGTGTGTGTGTGTGTGTGTGTGTTAGGGGGCGGAGCTAAAGCTGCGTCGGCTCGGCGAGGAGCAAACCGCCCTGCAGCTCCGACTGAACCAGCAGCTTGAGGAGAACCAGCAGCTGGAGGAGAACAGCCTGAGAACGCAGCAGGAGCTGAAGAAGACGCTAGACGCTCTGAGCAGGTAGCCTCCATGCTGCACTGCCCCCTGCTGGACGGAGCTCCTACACTAGTGATGGGTCCTTTCACAACGATGCGTGGAAGCATACGTGGAGCCCATAGAGCAACCAAACCAGGAGTTTTTTCTGACTGACTGAGTCACTAAACTGAGCTTAAAAACGTATCTGTCAACATGATCCACCTGCTAAAAAAATTATCTTCTTTTTTGTGGTTTATCATTTAAATTATGAAGAATTTTGGAGCCTAAAAGGAACAGGAACGTTTCAGCCGTTGCGTTTTTATTTAGATGTTCTCATTTTTTCATCCTTTTCCTCTCAGTTATCACCCAGCTTATATGAATTAAAGTTAATTTCCAGTTGATTCTTAGTTTATTTATTGTTTTTACTGTACTCATTGTTTTAAAATGATGATTTTAAATCCTAGTCCAGCAGCATCCTTATTCACATTTTCCCCTAAATTTTCACGTTATGATATATGTTTACTTTATTTATTGGCTGCATCTAAAAATATCAAATATATTTTCAATTTAAACATAGATGTGAAATAATACAATATAACCTATAATAACTTCAGTTCTATCATTGTACTAGGTCATTAAATTAATTCAGTTTAGTCCAATCAGCTGCCTGTAGTGTCTTTAAATGTCCAGCAGGTGTCAGTGTTCTGTGAGACAGGATCAACGCAGCATCAATACAGTTTGGCAATGTGTCCAAACGCTTCAAGATGCCTCATTAACCCATAAATATCTGATACCATCTATGTTTGAAAACTACATCTGAAATCCCTAAAGTCAATTTTATAATTTATTTATAAAAACTTCCTTTTTTTACTGGAAAAACTGAGATCTGGATCATCAGACCTCCATTTACCCATCATTGATGTTATGTCTAAGGGGCCATTTTAACTCCAGGACCTCTGATCTGTGTTACTGTGACAGGGAGAAGGAGGCGTCCAGCTCCCTGCGTCTGCAGCTGGAGGAGGTGCAGAGGAGAGAGGAGGAGGAGAAGAAGGAGAAGGACAGACTGAGGAGAGACAGAGAACGACTGGAGGAGAAAACTCGACAGCTGGAGGCTGAAACACACAGACGGTACCAACAGGTTCTGCTGCAGCGGACCGAAGGATTAGGGCTGATTTATAGGTCGTCTGCATGTGTGTCGCAGTGAACGCAAATGTTCCCCCAACCCTTCTGCAGACTCTCTGCTGCTCCTCTCCAAAACTATAAGTGAGCGCAAACAGGAGGCCTCTGATTGGTCGTTTTGGCCCTCATGTCACAAACTTGCCCCCACTTCCTCACCGCCTCTGCCGTATCTAGACCCACAGCTAGTTCCAGATTGGCCCTCTGGCGTTGTGGTGTAGAATAAAATAGCGCAGACCACGCTTCAATATTGGGCATAAATCAAAAATAACTGCGACAACCTCACTGCGACACACTGCTGCTGGACGATAACCAGGCCTTTAGGGTGAGGGGTTCTGCTCTGTTTGGATTCTGTTCTGTCAGAACAAACTTCCTCTGTCAGTTAAATCCTCCACAGTCTATAAACAATCACTCCAGGTTTTCAGTCTAACTTGGACTCCTGGAAACAAACCATCAGACCAATTTAGCTCTTCAGCTGCTAAAGGGGGCGGAGCATTGAAACGAGGCAGCTATGAAGCTTCCTTTGTTCCTACAATTTTTTATGCACATAGATTCAAACAAAAGCAGAGGAGCGCTCACTACTCTCAGAACTGCAAAAGTCAACAATACTGCAGATAATGATAACTGTGAAATCACCAGCAACATCTGGTGAAGTAGATATAAGGTTAATAACAATGGAATTAATAATGATGTAGAATTAGCTATAAATGATTTCAATTAGCTGCCACAAAGTTTTCTATTATTGTTCTATGTAGAAATATATCAGCAGAAGTGGGGAAAAGAATCTAAACATTTCACTAGATGATTGAATGCCTTCAGAGTAAAGAACCCCCCTGTGGGTTCATCTATAAAAAAGGTTTTACTGATTGTAATTATAACTGGTTGTGTTTTGTGAGGGAAATTCGACAACAAGCTGCCTCAAATAAGAAAGTAAATGTACTTAAAAACACGTCATTACACTAACAAAATTCTGCATATCGACTGGATTTCAGTATCATTTTGAGTTATTATTAGAGCTGTCAATGTAATGAGTGGTTAATCTGAAACACGCAGAATGGAACCATCAGTCCAAATGTCAAACAGCCCATCTGATCGAATCAGCAAATCAGCAAATTGGTGCCGTCCAATCAAAGCAGCTGTTACTGTCGGGCTGTCAGGAATACAGATACTCCAAAACATATTCAAACACTGTGTCTGAAAAGAATAAGTTTTGTTTGCATATTTTTGCTATTTTTAATTTTAAGAGTTTTACACATTTAAACATTATAATCCTCAGACAGTATTACAATGGTGATAGTAAGGTAGGCTAATATTAGCATGGTGATAGCAAGGTGGGATAATGTTAGCATGGTGATAGCAAGGTAGGCTAAGTTAGCATGGTGATAGCAAAGAGGGCTGATAGCATGGTGATAGCAAGGTAGGCTAAGTTAGCATGGTGATAGCAAGAGGGCAAATATCAGCACGGTGATAGCAAGGTAGGCTAATGTTAGCATGGTGACAGCGAGGTAGTCTAATGTTAGCATGGTGATAGCAAGGAGGGCTAATGTTAGCATTGTGATAGCAAGGTGGACTAATGTTAGCATGGTGATAGCAAGGTAGGCTAATGTTAGCATGGTGATAGCGAGGTAGGCTAATGTTAGCAAGGTGGTAGCAAGGTGGACTAATGTTAGCATGGTGATAGCAAGGAGGGCTAATGTTAGCATGGGGATAGCAAGGTGGACTAATGTTAGCATGGTGATAGCAAGGTAGGCTAATGTTAGCATGGTGATAGCAAGGTAGGCTAATGTTAGCATGGTGATAGCAAGGTAGGCTAATGTT